AAATGAGTAACAAGAATCAAAGGTGCAGAAAAAAATTCAAATTGAAAAACAGGTAACCAATTTTTGTACAAAACGTGCAAATGATTTTTCGTGCGCTAAAATTGGCATCCCAAAAAAATAAGCGATTATAATAGTACTTAATTGTCCGTATCTATAAAAGTAAAAAAATATTAAAAGTAAAATAAAAGTAAATAAAAATAAAAAATAAGTAAAAGTAATTATAAATACTTTGCAAAGCTTTAATAAATAATGGCATTACAAACCTTTTTTTACTAGATTACAATCGATTACTTTTCCTTTTTATTGACACTGACAATCATACTTAATTTTGATCGATTTTCTCCATGGAACTCAAAGGCGGGTCTAACTAGAACAAACTTTTGCAATCAAAAATTTTCACTAATACAGAAATCAGTACCAACCGAGATGGTATCGATATTATCTTGAGTTCTACGAACTAACTAGATGCCTTGCTCACTTACATGACCAACGATTTTCTACTTCTCGTAATCGCCGGAAACTTTAAATGAAATCAAAATTAATCGGCTCATCTAAAAGCGCACAAAATCATCTAAAAAAATGACGTCAGATCTCAAAAATTTCAAGGATTTGAGCAGTCATAGTTAAAGACATGTATCGGAATTCCTGAGAGTACCCTGACAGCAATCAACTAGAAGGTTGAAACCTGACAGCGTCCTACTATGCGGTTGATATTTTCAATTGGAAAATACAAAAAAAAAATACCACAGCAGAATGCGATATTGTTTAAATGTGAAAAAAACTCTTTCGTTGAACATGCAAAATATTACAATGAAAAAAACTTAAGCATAGCGAGATAGTAAAGCCGGGATTTGAATATACCATAAGCCCGCTTGCGCTGAAAACGTTTCAACGAAATAATTTACTAGTTTAACCAAATTTTTTCACGTTTACATTATTCAAATTTTACATTATTTACTGAACTCAAACTGGAAATCTACAAAAAGTTCTTAAGCAACTCAATAAGTTATTGAGGTGCATAAGAACTTTTTCAGATTTTACAATTTGAATTCACTGTTTAATTAGCCAAAGTTAAAATTAGCAACCAAATACTGGGATTAAATCAGAGTTTTGTAGGGTTTGGCCCAAAAATATGAATACACAAATCCTTCTAGTTTAAGATCTACGACAATTTTTGTGATTTCCAATCTTTTAGGAAATTTAGATTTAAAAAATTTATCAATATTTGAAATTCCAACTATGTAGTTGGATGCTGTCAGCTTAATCTCAGAGATTGTAAACATTGTTTCTAAATTTTACTGCTCGAAAATATGAGTCTTATTTTCCAAAATATGAAGTTTTCACATGATTTCTTCAAAATTTTCAAAGAACATAGATACAGAAAATTTTAACGAAATTTGAATGCCCGATTCGGAAAATGGCTGCTGTCAAGATGCTCTAAGACCATGCAAATTTTGCTTCTGTATTTGACTTCTCAAATATTTTAAGCTTCTGAGATATGACTTTTTTTATGATTGTTAAAAATCTATAAATTTTCATTAGATTTATGAAAATTTTACTATCTGTTAATCTATCTAATTATTTTATATTCAAATGTGGGCTTCAATGTCTCGCCATGTTTCTATTTTTCAAAGTACTCTTTTAGCATGTTAAATGAATGAGTTTGTTTCGTGCTTAATTTATATCGTATACTGCAAAGCCTAAGAAATTTTTTTGGTTCTCGAACATAGTGATTTTTTCACCAAGTTTATTACTAGCAACCTAAAAGTGGGATCGTTGGTGAGCAACCCAATGATGGGATGGTGACAGGTTTTCTCAGGGATTGCGAATTTGGCCTCTAATTTTGGACACTCAAATTTTTTGGACTTTCTGATAAACGACACTTTCTGTTAAACGTTCTTTTTTTGGTTAAAAAAGAAGTTCAGAAATCTTCGATTTGAAAAAATTCACCAAATTGAAATTTTCAACCCTGCAGTTAAATATTGTCAGAATACTCTCAAGGTTCCAAGGACTGTCGTAAAATAAGATTGCTCAAATCCTTTTAGTTTCCCAGATATGGCGTTTTTTAAAAATTTTCAAAAGAAATTCAGAAAATTATGTTAATAAAAAAACTGACAAAAGTTGAAAATCTCAGCTCGATAATGTGAGGTGCGTCAGAAAACTTTTAAGCATTGCAAATTTTTCATCTCATTTTGACCGCGTAAGTCTTCTAAGTTTAGCAAGAACTTATATATAAATATTTGACACAAATTGAAATTCTCAACCCTGTAGTTGAGTTCTGTCAAAGTGCTCTCAGGGTTTCCAAACAATGTCTCAAATTAGAATTGATTGAATGCTCATAGCTTTGCAAGTTTGACGTTCGTTAAGCTTTTGCTATAAAAATTTCAAATAAATCAGATAAAAAATTTGATGAAAGGTGCAACTCTCAGCTCGATAATGTGAGGTGCAGTCAGGGTACTCATTTGCAACCCCTGAGAGTACCTCGACAGCAGCTGACTACACGATTAGTAACTTCAAGTTTTGTTTAAAAAAATTTAAATCTTTTTCTGAAAAATTATTGAATACGTTATATCTCGGAAACTTACGATTGGAGAAGTCAAATTTATGTAACAGCACCTCACATTATCGTGTTGAGTCCCAACTTTTGCCAAAAATTTTATCTGAATTATTTGAATTTTTTTGAAAAATTTTGTAAAATGTCATATCTGGTAAACTATAACGATTTGAGTAGTTTTACTTTGACACATTATTTGGAAAAGCTGAGAGCACTCTGACAAAACTCAACGAGAGGTGATAATTTCAATTTATGTCAAGTTTTTATATATGAATTCGCTAAATCTTTTTTCAAAAATTATGAAAAATGTCATATCTCGAAAACTTAAAAATTTGAGCAGTGAAGTTTCGATGCAAGATGTGCAATGCTTGAAACACCCTGACAGCACATCACACTATCGAATTGAGAACTTCAGCTTTTGTCAAATTTTTAATATCCAAGTTATTTGAAAACTTTTGAGCGTATCTTAAAAAACCTCATATCTGAGAAACTATAAAAATTTGGGAAGTTCTAATTTGAGACATCATTTGAAAAAAGTGAGAGCACCCTGACAGAAAACTACATGGTTGAAAATTTCAAGTTTTAGTCAAATTTTTATATATGTTCTTGGAAAAATTATTGAACAAATCATAGAAAACGTCATGCCTAAGAAACTTAGAACTGCGCGTTCAAATTGGGATTTAAAATTTGCATTGCCTTAAAGTACTTTGGCAGCATCCCATATTATTGAGCTGAGAATTTAAATTTCTGGCAAACGTCTGATCTCAGAAACTTCGAGGATTTGCGTGGTCAAATTTGGATGCAAAAAATTTAATGCCTGAGAAACCTCGGCAGAACTTCACAATATCGAGTTGAGAATTCCATCTTCTGTCAAATTTTTGATATCCAAATTTTCAGAAAAAATCTGAAAAATTATTTAAAAAAACGTCATATATCGGAAACTTAAAGGATTGAAAAGTCAAATTTGGATAAAAGATGTACAATGCATGAAAATATCCTGACATTAGCTCACATTATCGAGTTGAGAATTTCAAATTTTGTCAAATTAAGTGTTTCACAAAAATTTACAAATTATTTAGATAAAATATGACAGAAGTTGACTCTCATCTGAAATATTTGAAAGTTTTTTTCGAAAAACACTTTAAAAACGCCATATCTAGAAAACTAAAAAAAAGTTTGAGAAAACAAATTTTGAAGCAAAATTTGCAATCTTTGAGAGTACTTGGCAGTACCTCAAATTTCGTTAAATATTTTTTGTATCCAAATTATTTGAAAACCTTGAACAAATCAATTAAAAATGTCATATCTAGGAAACTGAAGGCATTTCAGCAGCCAAATCAGGAGACGAGAGCTGCAAACCCTCAGAATGAACTGGGAGCATGCAAATATAGGGTTGGTAAATTCAAATTTCGTTAAGTTTTTATATCTAACTTTTCTAGATTTTGAAAACGCACAAAAGCTGTCTTATCTTGTAAACTTTAAGTATTTGGATTTTCATATTTAGAGGTGAAATTTGCAATGCCTACAAAACCTTGAATTTCTAGAATAACATATGATTGGCCCTTTTCTGATGACTAAAACCCAACTTAAGAAAACCGGATCAATAGGTAAAGTTTGTATTCCGCTGGAAATCTAAACATTAAATTCCACTTTCGAAACTAGAAATCGTTCACATTTTTTGCGCCATTTCCACGTTCTTAATTGGAGAGTGCTATTTACGTAACTTTTAGCAGATGATTTTCAATTGAGCTCAAAAAGTGCATATATACCTAAATGCATTTATAAATGCATTAAAATGTATGAATGCACATCTGTAGCTATTAGAGCATTTTATAACTTTTTCCTGAAATTAAACAAAAAAAATTACCAAGACCTATATAAGGGTCTTCACTACGTTCATTACTTTTAATCATTTCTTTTCATCTTACTATTGTTAAAATATTTTGAAACATTCGTAAATTAGGCGTTGAAATGTTTTCTCGTATAAATTAATAAGTTCGGAATTTAGTTTGAAAATTACACAGCACCATTTAGTTTAAAGCTTTGCCCTTTACCATTTCGGCGTTAACAGAGAAATTAGCATCTAATGTTTTCAACTAAAACCCAAGACAAAAAATAAATCTATCAAAAAGTTAATCCTGATGCCAAAAGTCTCAAATTCAAAGTGCTTGATCAATGAAGTAACAAATGAAGAAAACTCTGCAAGAAAATGAGGCCAATGGTTTTGATAACATTCAAGTGAATGCTACCCAACAATTGAATTTTTAGATGTCAATTCTAAAATTTTATTATCGCAATGAACATTCACAAGTCTAGAGGTGACAAAACTTAGCTAATCGATTTATGCCCATTTCAGTTTATCATCATATATGATTTCTGGAGTTCAATGAAACTTTTGGTTCATATTTGCAAATACATAATCCTAATGTTACATTTGTCAGTACGACAAGTTGGTAACCATCTTTGAATTATTTGAGTAAACAAAAAATCATCAGCCTATAATCTCGCAACTAATGATCATCAGACTTTGATCCCAGGTCCAGTAAACTTGGAAACTCATTCCCCATCCACTGGAGACAAATGAATACCAAAAGTTTTGCGTGGATATTGCAAATTTATTTCTTCAGCTGTCCAAGTCAAAGTCTTACTATACCCCAATTCAACCATCCTAACCTTATTTCTAATGAAGTTTCCAAACCCTTAGAAACACAAATCATAGGAGACACCGTCGCTGCCTATCCAAATTATCCATCGACACTTCCGATACGCAATCTTCACCAATACAGAGCTGGTCCCGTGACTCAATCACACAGCTGCGCTTACCTCTGTTTCGCTGAGCGACCATGGCACACTTATTATCATCAATGTGTCATAACTTGGAGACGAGTGAACAACATGTGTTTGTGTCTATGTATACCTCGCTTCTACCCTCGACAACCTAATTCAATTATTAATGGCCGCTCTTGAATAAAAAAACTGACACGAATCCTAGCTGATGTCTGAAAGTTGTTTCTTCAATAAATTTAATCATTTTTTATCATGTAAAATAAAATTTTTAAGCATTCTGCAAGTTTTCGCTTTCATCTTCAAAAGCAAAGCCAGTTTCTGAGTTCGTTTCAAATTCATCAAACAAATCCAACAAGCTCTGAGGAACATTCACTCTTGGTTTTTGATAATTATATTCAAATAGGTTGTCATGTTCTTTGCACATCTTGAAATAAACATCAGCAAGTCTTTGCATGTGGTCAAATGTCAAAAATCTAGGATACAAATCTCGAGGGATATCAGCATCTTCACACATTCTAATCGCACATTTCTTTGAAATTGTCTTTGGGAATAAGTCCATCAAACCTTTGAAACAGGGTTTATTTTTGTAATGCATAACAGCTTTGACTAGTTTTTCGAAATAAGGTAAGGGAACGTCTATTAATTTGTTCACGCGCGGTTCGAAAGTGACCAAACCTGTTTCGCATGCCGGTTTCGGTACAAATACGGAGTTAGAAATTGTCAGAACAAAATCTACGTGGCACATACTTTGAGCCATTAACGACAACCGACCTCTTTTGTCGTCCCCTTCATTCGCCACGAGCTGTTCAGCTACTTCTCTTTGAAAGGTGAACGCCATTTTTGTCCTTCCGTGTTGAAACAATCCGCTCTTTTTATCAACATCATGTAAAAGTTTCACCAAGAAAGGGAGAGAAATATTGAAAGGGAGATTTCCAATTATGGCCAAATTAGGAGGTTCATCGGACCACTGTTGCGAACCCTGAAAACTTCTAGAACTTTCAGTGAAGTCATGTTCTAGGCAGTCTTCAGTTAATAATTCTAAACTTGAGTTCATTTCTTCAGCAGCTGTTTGAAGCATGGTGATAATCGGACGAAACCTGAAGTCCTTTTCAATCGTAACAATTTTTTGAGGAAACTGCTTCAAGATTTCGCGTGTTATTATTCCAGGGCCTGGGCCAATCTTAAAAAAAAAACGTTCGTAAATTGAAGACTTTTTTTGAAGACTTACATATGCCATTATTCAATCCGAATTGGTATTTAAAACAAAACCTCATTACCTTCTTTTAAGGTCAAAAATGGTGAACTGTTATGGTTCGGGACTGTTCTAAATCGGAAATTTTCATCGATCTTGCCAACGAACTATCAGACAAAAAATTGAAAATTCAGCTTACTTCGTATACAGTATAATCAGTGAGAGATCCCAGACTCCTGGCGATGTGTCTGGCAATATCTTCCCTCAGCAGGAACACCTGTGCCAGGTGTCTCACAGTCTTCAGTCTGTAGATCCTCAGCAGATCCTGCACAGAGGGCAGAGGCGGCATCTTGAATCGGCGCGGCCTCGACACTCGACTCAACTCATCTCCTAGGTTTGTCAACTTGCCCCTATTCGAGACATATTTTTGTCTTCTCAATTCAATAACTTGGCTCAGTGGTGCTGAAATTTGGTTGAAGTGGCGGCAAGCTAAAGGGGCAACTATACTTCCGCGCTTCATAAAATCCATTACATTCTGAAGAAAAATGAAGTTTCCAAATTAAATTTTTTCCAAAGATAATGAATGCATGATGGTTCGAAGCAATCGGTTGACAAACTCTTGAAAAACAAAGCTTTTAAAAAATTAAATTAATATTGAACATTAAATTGGGTAAAATGTATGTCAAGTTTGACAGTTTCTAAGCCAAATATTTGGACATTCGACAATTGTACGTCATGGCAAATATAATTAAAAGCATCATCGCGTTAAAAATTTTCACTACGATAAGAACAGAATACTGTCACTGCAACTAAATAATTTAATTGAATTCAAATAAATCGTTTAATTACGTACAAAAATATCAAAATGCAACTTGTATTTCCGCCCATTTAGATTACTTAGCTCTATAAAAATCGTAAGCAACGTACAATTGATCTTCGCCAGACTGCCGATAGATTTATTTTTTCTTCTGCGAAATCATTTTTGCCATGGTGATAATAATGCTTCAATTCACTGATTTGGTCTTTGAACCCACCAAGTTCCGACATTTAAACAACATTAACTTCTTATTTTATCCTTAGTTATGCGTAGAACATTTGAGTAGACTAAGTGAGTGCAGTGCCTACAACAGGAGACAGCTCTTCTTCTCCTTGTAGGGGTTTTCAGCCACCGTGAGTGGTCGGAGGAGTCTGTCGTCCTGTTGGTGGTTCTGACAGTACTGCACTATCTCACTAGTAGTCTCGCTGGTCTTCTTTCGCTCTATCTTCACCTAATCACAAACACATACCAAGTTGAGCCCGTGCAAAAAAAAGTGCGCTGCTTTGCTAGAAAAACGATCCATATTGTTTTTAGGAAAGAAAAATAAATAGAAGGACAAATGAGTCTGATTTGATAGTTCTATAATTCATTTGCCTCAAATTGTCTATAGTCAACAGACGTCTATAGTCAACAGAAGTTTTTATCAACAAAGAAACAAAAAAATTTATTAAACTTTTTTCGCCAATTTTCGAGTTTCATCAAGAATGTACACATGCTTTGATTTAATACCTCAAATGTAGCAACACTACTGGACAGAAAAAAAACGAGGTAGCCAGACAAATATATTTAGAAGGAAAAATATTGAAAAACTTCATCTATTTCATTTTTGTTTCGAAAAAAGTTCAATTTAAGGAAACCATGCCAAGATACATAACCCCAACGTTAAACAAAGTTTCAGAAAAAACTATCGAGCGAAACGTGATCAAAAGATTGGGTAAGCTGAACCGAAAACGGTCAATATTTTGAGCTATAAGTTCCCCAAATCGAAAGTTTTAAGCCCCCTTCATGATACACAAAAGCATGAAAATCTATTTCTGCTCTTCAAACGAAGCAACATTCAGCGAAAACGAGTCGATATCATATCAGAAGAAACCATGCGCGGATTTAATATTTCAACCAAAAAAATCAAAAAATAAAAAGAAAGAGGAACATAAAAACTTCTAACCACTTGCGACAAATATAGCATGCACCGTTATAGAGAAAAAAAACTCAGGACAAAATTGAAAAACAATGTTTTTTCTCCAAAAACTAATAATTTTTGGAAAATATTAGCAATGTGCTATTAACGTGCATCACTTTACAATGATATTTCTCAGATATAACAAGAAACAAGACGCTAAGTGGTTAGAACCGAAGTCCAACTAAACTAAGACAAAAAACTAAAACAACCAGGCAGCCAAAAAAGCTGATATCTTTTTCATAGCCTTCTTCTTTACCAATAAAAACTTGTTTATAAAAAACTTAGAAAATGTTTATGTGGCTTAAATTCCATTAAAAACCCAGCAATTGGACTGATAAAACTGGAACAAAACCCTGACGGCCGTCGAAAAACAATCCGATTTCATCGCCAGATACAACACCACTGACTTTCATACTATATAAAAATGTACACCGCCTTTGAGTTCTTTAATTTTCAAGAAGTATTGTATTTAACGTTTTTTGATAATTGATATGTAATTTAGATAATACCGCTGAGAAATCTTCAAATTTAAATCAAACGATATATATACAAGACGACTTCAACTCTTTGCGGAGCATTGAAAATCCAGAGCTTTCATAGCTGCCATCAATTCAGTAAATGAACAAGACATTTTAAAGCCAATTGAATTTTTTTTCCATTTTATGCCAGCACGCTATGTACAATACAAAGGTTGTGTTTAGAGTCTCGTATTGTTTTAGTAGGACTAAACTGCTGACCTCAATTCAATTTAACGGATTAATTATCCACTTACGCGTGTTATTAGAACGCAATATACCGCGCGTTAATCATCCCAAATTGGTACAGTTACCAAATTTCAAACCCCATAACTTTTTTAAAAAACGATCACAAGTGAAATATTTTATTGAGTATTTGAGCTCAGAACAACAATATCTTTAAGATGGTATTAAAAATGCTGTTAAAAAAGCTGTTGAAAAATCAAAAATCGACTGGATGGAAAAAAGCAACCCAAGCATAAAAATATTGCCTTTTCTTCGAACAAAAAGAACATAAACAGTAAATTGAAAATCGCACTTTTTTAAACCTCAAACAAAAAAAGCAAAAAAAAAAAGCAAAAAAAACATAGGATACCAATGAATTGAAATTCACTTCGTTCTTTGACACTCAAAACCTCAAGCATAGGTAAAAATGGTTTATAATGCTGTTCAAAACCAACACCACTTTCAAAGCAAGCTGATTTTTGAAATCGAATGGATCATTTGCTTTCATGCCTCAAACGTGGCATCTGGACAGATAATGACGCAGTAGCCATTAAGCCAGGAATATTTTTTTGATTAATATCGAAAAACTTCATCTACAGACATTTTAAATGTTTGTTTTTAATGACTATCCATTTGAGGAAACCATTCTAAGACACATACTTCAATTGACACAACATATTGCGACAGAAAGCCGATATCAAATCAGTAATAACCTTGAGCTGATTCAACATTTAAACCAAAAAAAAAATAAGGAAAAAATTTATATAAAAAACAAATTGTTTACAGAGGCGCAGAGCAACTTCTCCTCACTTGCGACACAACACCAATATAGAATTGCAAGCTAAGTGACAAAAACGAGACAAAGCGGCAGAAAAAAATCGAAAATAAGTGTCAAAACAAAATTTTGTATCTTTGACTTGAAAAAATATGAGTAAAACAACTGATCGCTAAATGATGATGGAAACGAAACTTACAAAGCGGTAACAAAACCCACAATACCCAAGCAGACACACAGTGAGCCAAAACAAGTGGTTTTCATTAAAAAAAACATAGCCAACAGGCAATTGGAAGAGTGAATGAATGCAATTAAACAGAAAAAAAATTACCGACTTGTTTTTTTGAAATCTCAGCATTCAAATTTCAAAGAAAAAAATGCCCGTAAAGTTCTTTGAATTTTAAACACAATTTGTGATTGACACTTTTTCGATAAAATTGGCCCAAATTGAGAAAACTGAATAAATAGATAAAATCGTTATAGAAATAGTTCGAAAATCTGAAAATTAAATTCCACTAACCAAACTAGAAATCGATCACGTTTTTCATGAGCTTTACACTGCTGTTAAATAGTGTAATTAACCTTCCTTTTAACAAAGGAAACGAACTGAACTTAAACAGAAATCAAAAGTCAAACTGCGAAAAATGCACTTGAGTCTGAAAAAAAACGAACTTATAAGAGTCTGAACTACGTTCATCGACTCTTAGTAAGTAAAAATTTCAGAGCAAGCCTTTAATTCGCACCTCAAAAAAATTAGAAAAACAACCTTTTGCTGATCAAACGAATCCAGATGTAGAAGCTAAGCCGAAATAGTAAGGTCAAAACCTTTAAAGCCGAATAAGACAGAAAAGAGTAAAATCCAAAAAAAATGATTTACTGAAACCAGTTAGTAAGCTTACAACCATCATTTTGAGCAAATTTTGAAAAATACTAGCATTTAAAATACAGACAAGCTCGATATTAGTCTGTTAGGTGGGTAAAACACAGATTTGGAGATGACTATAAATTGATAACTAACAAAATCGGATGTGATAAATTTGCAAATTACAGAAATAAATCAAATATACTTTCAGTTATAGTAAGACTTGCTAAAACCAAAAACTCAATCGATGAATTTGAACACCATAAAATAAGCAGAGAAACAACTTCCCAGAGCAAAAATACAGGTATCGCCCAGAATCAAACAACAGTCCTCTGTCTTCTCAACGATGGACGTTACCTCTATGCTATATAGGACGAAACAGTCTTTAATTTAATTTAAATCAAGGTACCAAATGATTCACTGATTCTGTTTAAAAAAATTTGTTAGCCTGATAAATCTCTTATCCAATTTTACAAAGCTTTCTAACAACAAATCATAAAACCTTAACATCAAATAAAATCAAAACTTAACCCCCATGGGTCACTGTCCAGACGAGAAAAATGTCAGAGCAAACATGACACCACAGAGGCAAAGCTTCGCTTCGCAAACGCTACCGAGAGCACGACAAGAAGCAGCTCTAGAAAGTGCAATAAAAATAGAAATAAGCCTCGAATTAATAAAAATTCGGCCAAGTCTAGGATTCGATCTGCGACCTACTGCAATCTGGAGTATTTGAGTCTCACGCACTATCCACTCAGCCACACATGCTTAACCACCGCTGAACACTAGTCACAAATAAAGCAGGTACGTATGCTAATGCGATTCAGATAAGTGACACCAAATACAAATAGACACAATTTTGCAAGTAATAGTTTGGAATTAACTGAAGGCATCCACACTAACTACCAATATTTGCGACTTAGTTAAGAAAGTTAGGAGGTTCGTAACAATACACGAAGCTGACGAAACCCACATTACCCAAGCAGACACACAGTGAGCCAAAACAAGTGGTTTTCATTAAAAAAAAACATAGCCAACAGGCAATTGGAAGAGTGAATGAATGCAATTAAACAGAAAAAAAATTACCGACTTGTTTTTTTGAAATCTCAGCATTCAAATTTCAAAGAAAAAAATGCCCGTAAAGTTCTTTGAATTTTAAACACAATTTGTGATTGACACTTTTTCGATAAAATTGGCCCAAATTGAGAAAACTGAATAAATAGATAAAATCGTTATAGAAATAGTTCGAAAATCTGAAAATTAAATTCCACTTACCAAACTAGAAATCGATCACGTTTTTCATGAGCTTTACACTGCTGTTAAATAGTGTAATTTACCTTCCTTTTAACAAAGGAAACGAACTGAACTTAAACAGAAATCAAAAGTCAAACTGCGAAAAATGCACTTGAGTCTGAAAAAAAACGAACTTATAAGAGTCTGAACTACGTTCATCGACTCTTAATAAGTAAAAATTTCAGAGCAAGCCTTTAATTCGCACCTCAAAAAAATTAGAAAAACAACCTTTTGCTGATCAAACGAATCCAGATGTAGAAGCTAAGCCGAAATAGTAAGGTCAAAACCTTTAAAGCCGAATAAGACAGAAAAGAGTAAAATCCAAAAAAAAAGATTTACTGAAACCAGTTAGTAAGCTTACAACCATCATTTTGAGCAAATTTTGAAAAATACTAGCATTTAAAATACAGACAAGCTCGATATTAGTCTGTTAGGTGGGTAAAACACAGATTTGGAGATGACTATAAATTGATAACTAACAAAATCGGATGTGATAAATTTGCAAATTACAGAAATAAATCAAATATACTTTCAGTTATAGTAAGACTTGCTAAAACCAAAAACTCAATCGATGAATTTGAACACCATAAAATAAGCAGAGAAACAACTTCCCAGAGCAAAAATACAGGTATCGCCCAGAATCAAACAACAGTCCTCTGTCTTCTCAACGATGGACGTTACCTCTATGCTATATAGGACGAAACAGTCTTTAATTTAATTTAAATCAAGGTACCAAATGATTCACTGATTCTGTTTAAAAAAATTTGTTAGCCTGATAAATCTCTTATCCAATTTTACAAAGCTTTCTAACAACAAATCATAAAACCTTAACATCAAATAAAATCAAAACTTAACCCCCATGGGTCACTGTCCAGACGAGAAAAATTTCAGAGCAAACATGACACCACAGAGGCAAAGCTTCGCTTCGCAAACGCTACCGAGAGCACGACAAGAAGCAGCTCTAGAAAGTGCAATAAAAATAGAAATAAGCCTCGAATTAATAAAAATTCGGCCAAGTCTAGGATTCGATCTGCGACCTACTGCAATCTGGAGTATTTGAGTCTCACGCACTATCCACTCAGCCACACATGCTTAACCACCGCTGAACACTAGTCACAAATAAAGCAGGTACGTATGCTAATGCGATTCAGATAAGTGACACCAAATACAAATAGACACAATTTTGCAAGTAATAGTTTGGAATTAACTGAAGGCATCCACACTAACTACCAATATTTGCGACTTAGTTAAGAAAGTTAGGAGGTTCGTAACAATACACGAAGCTGACGCCGCATGTGTAAAAAAAACAACATTTTTCGAAGAACGTATTTTTTGAAAAATGTTAGCGATGTGCCATTAACAAGTATCAATTTACAATAAAATTTCTCAAATATAACAAGAAATAAGACGCTTATTGGTTAGAAACGAAGTCCGACTATACTATTACAAAAAACTTAGAGATAGGCAGCCTAAAAAACTGACATATATTTCATAAGTTTCTTCTTTACCAACAAAAGCTTGTGTAAGAAAAATTGCATTAAGCAAAAAAAACTATTGAAAATAAACCCAGTAACTGATCAAAATTGGGACAAAAAAATAATATCCAATTTTAGCGATAGATACAGTACCACTGCATTAGGACATAATTAGACGCAAAAAGACTGCTATGATAGAGCTACAGCATTTTAAGCCAACTAGATCTAGATCTATGGACTGTTTTTCATTCCTCAGTCAAACTGTTAAAACTTCAGCAAAAAACAGCCTGACCTCAAAAAATGACACTTCAATGCGTTCAGAACTACTTAATGAATGTCTTCATAATTTTTGTACAAAAAAAAAGATTTTCAATAAATAATGATGATCGCTCGCACAACAAATTTTTATCGTTTTTAAGTTTCGATAAAAATACTCTCACCTCTTTCTCCAGCTGGGCCAGTTCACTCTGCAGTAGTTCTACTCTTGATGCCATTTTAGACCAGATAGTTTGATTGGGATAGAAATCGAAAGAACAGTCCGGATAGATGACAGATAAAGAAAGCAGACTTTTTTTTCAGATTCTTTAAGGGCGTTCGTCGACAATTTCAATCTGAAAATAGAAAATTATCCTTGAAATATTCTATTCCTAGCGATTGAATTGACTGAGTAAAATCATTAATTTTTTTCGATTTCAAAAACAACCCAAATTCAATTCTTCAATTTCAAAATATAACTAAATTTATAAATGCAAAATATACAAAAATTGCGTAATCCAATTTAAAAATCATCAGTAATCTATACAAACATAAATATGACTGTACTAATTGTATTGAATGTGAGCAGGTGATCATCAACTAACTGAGCAGAAACTAATTGAAGAAAGGTAATAAATTAGAAACGATAGATAGAATGCTTGGAAAAATCATCCTACCCCTCCTCTCGTCGATTCTTAATTTGATCAACTCATGTGGGTTGCTTCTGAAGTGGTGCTTCCAGGAGACACCATATTTGGACTGTTTGAGTTCAGTATATTGCTGTTGCTTCCGTTTACATTGCTTTTGAACTGAGGCGGGTCAATGTATAGTGGAATTGCGTATAGTTTCGCTGGAACGGTAGGCATAGCGGAGCCTCTTTTTATCGAGAGGTATGGCTGTTGTGTATGATTACTGGCACTGTAGTTACTCGAATTTGTGCTTGAGGGTCTAGAAAGGACTCCGTCATCCAAGTCTCCATTTCCATTGTGAATCATAGGCCTAGCAACTCCTACAGAAGAGCCGTTGGAACTCTGCGTCTTGCTTGCCTTCCCCGGATTCGACTGCGAAGTTGGCAAGGTTCCGTTATCTTGCCTCGGACCTCCGACATTGAAAGTTCCCATGTGGTTTATCGTTGCCATTTTCGGCATTGTATTTGACTTTCTAGCAAACGCCAAAACTGGTGGACCTAGAGTGCCAATGTTATTTATTTGTTCGCATGAATCTGGGTCATCTCGGAAACATGGAGCGTACTGCGTGGAATGCAAATCATAGACACTGGGATGACTTTTGTTCAAATCGTCGCCCTTCGATCGGTTCGAGCTAGTTCTAGATTTCTTGTCGATTGACTGTCGCATTCCATTCACAAAAGCCTGATGTATGTTTCCAGTCATTGGTTTGCGAGACTCAATCGGGGAAGATCTTCCGCCTGTTGCGTAATCTAGGTACGTCAGAGAATCAGCTCGTATTGGATCGTGACTTCCGACTCTTAAAGTATTATGCTCACTGTTAAGCTCCAACTTATGATGATTCTGAAGTGAAAACCTCTCCGCTTCCTCGCCTATGCTACTAGAACGTCTTTTCCGAGTACACTGAGCGAATTTACCTCTTTTGAAATACCAATATATGCATACTCCACAGATCACACTTATTAGCACTACGAGGACTGGAATGAGAATGCCAAATGTGATAGCTGCTTTTTGGGCGCCGGTGAGATGCGGAGCCACGTGGACATTTATGACGTGAGTGGCAGATCCGGCTACATTTTCAGCCACACAAGTGATGTTTCCTTTGTCTGACAACCGTAACTCCTTCACTACAAGGTTCCCGTTCTCAGATAAAATATACCGTCCCTAAACGTACAAACACCTGTCAATAACTTTACATGCTTATAAAGAAAGCAAACAACTTCTAATTCATCGGACCATATGACTAAGTAAAAAAATTCTTCTCAACCAGGGGCGGATCTAGTATTTTCTTGAGGGGGGATTTCATTTTTTTTCGAAAAGTTTCGGCCTTTTTTAGGTCAACCAAATTGATTTTCCGAGCTCTCGCAAATCACTAAAGACCATAATTTGGCAAAAATTTTTGCGCTTTTCTTGAAAAACAGCAAAAAATACGAAAGACGTTTTTAGGCGTTTCTTGGACAGTTTTGACCGAAAAATCGTGTTTTTTTTTCGCGGGCGCTCCCCCTCAAAAATAGTATATATTGGTGCCAAAGGCGCCTTTAGAACAAATTTAGGGTCAGCCAGCCAAAAATTGAGGTCTTAAAATAAAACCTAAGTGCGACCCTTTAAGTAGTCAGGGGGTCAAATAACTAGCGGTCGAGCCCCCTAAATCCGCTACTGCACTCAATCATTTGGGGTATAATCACAAATTATGACTATGTTACGTACATTCAGAGGTCCGACATTGATTGCTAAGCGAGCTCTTACAAACAGAACAACTTGAGAAGTATAAGAACTCACTACACCGATAACTGTTCAATTTCTCCCGAGATAAGATTTCATAAATACATCTCAAAAAATGTATACCAATCAACTTAACTTGTCTCTTACCACTGTTTTCGAGGGCAGTATAATATTTTTGTGATTGAGCACCATCGCGTATCTGGGATTGGGGTCTCCCGAGGCACTACACCTCACACTTCCGTCCTCCCCCTCCCTCCACGTCACGTCCGAGAACCCATTCTTATTCGGCAGCACAATCGTCGGTCCCACACACGAGAGTTGACTCTCCTTTAGATCATGTAAACTAACAGACTCAAGGTTGTTGGGACTATTGCAACGTCCTTGAATATCAATACCCATAAACCTGGCCTCACTGGGTTCCATGGACATTGCTTGAGGTATCCAGTTCAACATGCAATTACAGTGAATATTGTTTGCGTTTAGGTTTAATTTCAGCTTCTCGTATCGAGTAGCATCTTTGTTTTTGGTCAACAGCGGCCATATTGCTTCCTGTGAAAGCGTTATCAAATTATTGTTCGACAAATCGATGTTCAACGGTTCTCTAGTACGAATGCCTTCAAAAGCATTTTTGTCAAGTGGATTTTTCGACAGCATATTCGATGAAAGATCTAGACTTCTGATCTTAGTCGTTGAATTTAGGAAGTGACCTTTAACAGACGTCAGTATATTCTTTGAAACGTCCAAGATTTCTAGTGTTTTTGGAATGAAGAAATCTAAATGTTGGATTGAGTTTCCGGAGAGGTAAAGCGATTTGAGCTTGTAGAACTTAACAAATGTGTCAGCTTCTATGACGCTGATCTGGTTATTAGACAGGTCCAGATGTTCCAATTGTGTTAAGTAATAGTTTGGAATTAACTGAAGGCATCCACACTAACTACCAATATTTGCGACTTAGTTAAGAAAGTTAGGAGGTTCGTAACAATACACGAAGCTGACGAAACCCACATTACCCAAGCAGACACACAGTGAGCCAAAACAAGTGGTTTTCATTAAAAAAAACATAGCCAACAGGCAATTGGAAGAGTGAATGAATGCAATTAAACAGAAAAAAAATTACCGACTTGTTTTTTTGAAATCTCAGCATTCAAATTTCAAAGAAAAAAATGCCCGTAAAGTTCTTTGAATTTTAAACACAATTTGTGATTGACACTTTTTCGATAAAATTGGCCCAAATTGAGAAAACTGAATAAATAGATAAAATCGTTATAGAAATAGTTCGAAAATCTGAAAATTAAATTCCACTAACCAAACTAGAAATCGATCACGTTTTTCATGAGCTTTACACTGCTGTTAAATAGTGTAATTTACCTTCCTTTTAACAAAGGAAACGAACTGAACTTAAACAGAAATCAAAAGTCAAACTGCGAAAAATGCACTTGAGTCTGAAAAAAAACGAACTTATAAGAGTCTGAACTACGTTCATCGACTCTTAATAAGTAAAAATTTCAGAGCAAGCCTTTAATTCGCACCTCAAAAAAATTAGAAAAACAACCTTTTGCTGATCAAACGAATCCAGATGTAGAAGCTAAGCCGAAATAGTAAGGTCAAAACCTTTAAAGCCGAATAAGACAGAAAAGAGTAAAATCCAAAAAAAAATGATTTACTGAAACCAGTTAGTAAGCTTACAACCATCATTTTGAGCAAATTTTGAAAAATACTAGCATTTAAAATACAGACAAGCTCGATATTAGTCTGTTAGGTGGGTAAAACACAGATTTGGAGATGACTATAAATTGATAACTAACAAAATCGGATGTGATAAATTTGCAAATTACAGAAATAAATCAAATATACTTTCAGTTATAGTAAGACTTGCTAAAACCAAAAACTCAATCGATGAATTTGAACACCATAAAATAAGCAGAGAAACAACTTCCCAGAGCAAAAATACAGGTATCGCCCAGAATCAAACAACAGTCCTCTGTCTTCTCAACGATGGACGTTACCTCTATGCTATATAGGACGAAACAGTCTTTAATTTAATTTAAATCAAGGTACCAAATGATTCACTGATTCTGTTTAAAAAAATTTGTTAGCCTGATAAATCTCTTATCCAATTTTACAAAGCTTTCTAACAACAAATCATAAAACCTTAACATCAAATAAAATCAAAACTTAACCCCCATGGGTCACTGTCCAGACGAGAAAAATTTCAGAGCAAACATGACACCACAGAGGCAAAGCTTCGCTTCGCAAACGCTACCGAGAGCACGACAAGAAGCAGCTCTAGAAAGTGCAATAAAAATAGAAATAAGCCTCGAATTAATAAAAATTCGGCCAAGTCTAGGATTCGATCTGCGACCTACTGCAATCTGGAGTATTTGAGTCTCACGCACTATCCACTCAGCCACACATGCTTAACCACCGCTGAACACTAGTCACAAATAAAGCAGGTACGTATGCTAATGCGATTCAGATAAGTGACACCAAATACAAATAGACACAATTTTGCAAGTAATAGTTTGGAATTAACTGAAGGCATCCACACTAACTACCAATATTTGCGACTTAGTTAAGAAAGTTAGGAGGTTCGTAACAATACACGAAGCTGACGCCGCATGTGTAAAAAAAAAACAACATTTTTCGAAGAACGTATTTTTTGAAAAATGTTAGCGATGTGCCATTAACAAGTATCAATTTACAATAAAATTTCTCAAATATAACAAGAAGTAAGACGCTTATTGGTTAGAAACGAAGTCCGACTATACTATTACAAAAAACTTAGAGATAGGCAGCCTAAAAAACTGACATATATTTCATAAGTTTCTTCTTTACCAACAAAAGCTTGTGTAAGAAAAATTGCATTAAGCAAAAAAAACTATTGAAAATAAACCCAGTAACTGATCAAAATTGGGACAAAAAAAATAATATCCAATTTTAGCGATAGATACAGTACCACTGCATTAGGACATAATTAGACGCAAAAAGACTGCTATGATAGAGCTACAGCATTTTAAGCCAACTAGATCTAGATCTATGGACTGTTTTTCATTCCTCAGTCAAACTGTTAAATCTTCAGCAAAAAACAGCCTGACCTCAAAAAATGACACTTCAATGCGTTCAGAACTACTTAATGAATGTCTTCATAATTTTTGTACAAAAAAAAAGATTTTCAATAAATAATGATGATCGCTCGCACAACAAATTTTTATCGTTTTTAAGTTTCGATAAAAATACTCTCACCTCTTTCTCCAGCTGGGCCAGTTCACTCTGCAGTAGTTCTACTCTTGATGCCATTTTAGACCAGATAGTTTGATTGGGATAGAAATCGAAAGAACAGTCCGGATAGATGACAGATAAAGAAAGCAGACTTTTTTTTCAGATTCTTTAAGGGCGTTCGTCGACAATTTCTATCTGAAAATAGAAAATTATCCTTGAAATATTCTATTCCTAGCGATTGAATTGACTGAGTAAAATCATTAATTTTTTTCGATTTCAAAAACAACCCAAATTCAATTCTTCAATTTCAAAATATAACTAAATTTATAAATGCAAAATATACAAAAATTGCGTAATCCAATTTAAAAATCATCAGTAATCTATACAAACATAAATATGACTGTACTAATTGTATTGAATGTGAGCAGGTGATCATCAACTAACTGAGCAGAAACTAATTGAAGAAAGGTAATAAATTAGAAACGATAGATAGAATGCTTGGAAAAATCATCCTCCCCCTCCTCTCGTCGATTCTTAATTTGATCAACTCATGTGGGTTGCTTCTGAAGTGGTGCTTCCAGGAGACACCATATTTGGACTGTTTGAGTTCAGTATATTGCTGTTGCTTCCGTTTACATTGCTTTTGAACTGAGGCGGGTCAATGTATAGTGGAATTGCGTATAGTTTCGCTGGAACGGTAGGCATAGCGGAGCCTCTTTTTATCGAGAGGTATGGCTGTTGTGTATGATTACTGGCACTGTAGTTACTCGAATTTGTGCTTGAGGGTCTAGAAAGGACTCCGTCATCCAAGTCTCCATTTCCATTGTGAATCATAGGCCTAGCAACTCCTACAGAAGAGCCGTTGGAACTCTGCGTCTTGCTTGCCTTCCCCGGATTCGACTGCGAAGTTGGCAAGGTTCCGTTATCTTGCCTCGGACCTCCGACATTGAAAGTTCCCATGTGGTTTATCGTTGCCATTTTCGGCATTGTATTTGACTTTCTAGCAAACGCCAAAACTGGTGGACCTAGAGTGCCAATGTTATTTATTTGTTCGCATGAATCTGGGTCATCTCGGAAACATGGAGCGTACTGCGTGGAATGCAAATCATAGACACTGGGATGACTTTTGTTCAAATCGTCGCCCTTCGATCGGTTCGAGCTAGTTCTAGATTTCTTGTCGATTGACTGTCGCATTCCATTCACAAAAGCCTGATGTATGTTTCCAGTCATTGGTTTGCGAGACTCAATCGGGGAAGATCTTCCGCCTGTTGCGTAATCTAGGTACGTCAGAGAATCAGCTCGTATTGGATCGTGACTTCCGACTCTTAAAGTATTATGCTCACTGTTAAGCTCCAACTTATGATGATTCTGAAGTGAAAACCTCTCCGCTTCCTCGCCTATGCTACTAGAACGTCTTTTCCGAGTACACTGAGCGAATTTACCTCTTTTGAAATACCAATATATGCATACTCCACAGATCACACTTATTAGCACTACGAGGACTGGAATGAGAATGCCAAATGTGATAGCTGCTTTTTGGGCGCCGGTGAGATGCGGAGCCACGTGGACATTTATGACGTGAGTGGCAGATCCGGCTACATTTTCAGCCACACAAGTGATGTTTCCTTTGTCTGACAACCGTAACTCCTTCACTACAAGGTTCCCGTTCTCAGATAAAATATACCGTCCCTAAACGTACAAACACCTGTCAATAACTTTACATGCTTATAAAGAAAGCAAACAACTTCTAATTCATCGGACCATATGACTAAGTAAAAAAATTCTTCTCAACCAGGGGCGGATCTAGTATTTTCTTGAGGGGGGATTTCATTTTTTTTCGAAAAGTTTCGGCCTTTTTTAGGTCAACCAAATTGATTTTCCGAGCTCTCGCAAATCACTAGAGACCATAATTTGGCAAAAATTTTTGCGCTTTTCTTGAAAAACAGCAAAAAATACGAAAGACGTTTTTAGGCGTTTCTTGGACAGTTTTGACCGAAAAATCGTGTTTTTTTTTCGCGGGCGCTCCCCCTCAAAAATAGTATATATTGGTGCCAAAGGCGCCTTTAGAACAAATTTAGGGTCAGCCAGCCAAAAATTGAGGTCTTAAAATAAAACCTAAGTGCGACCCTTTAAGTAGTCAGGGGGTCGAATAACTAGCGGTCGAGCCCCCTAAATCCGCTACTGCACTCAATCATTTGGGGTATAATCACAAATTATGACTATGTTACGTACATTCAGAGGTCCGACATTGATTGCTAAGCGAGCTCTTACAAACAGAACAACTTGAGAAGTATAAGAACTCACTACACCGATAACTGTTCAATTTCTCCCGACATAAGATTTCATAAATACATCTCAAAAAATGTATACCAATCAACTTAACTTGTCTCTTACCACTGTTTTCGAGGGCAGTATAATATTTTTGTGATTGAGCACCATCGCGTATCTGGGATTGGGGTCTCCCGAGGCACTACACCTCACACTTCCGTCCTCCCCCTCCCTCCACGTCACGTCCGAGAACCCATTCTTATTCGGCAGCACAATCGTCGGTCCCACACACGAGAGTTGACTCTCCTTTAGATCATGTAAACTAACAGACTCAAGGTTGTTGGGACTATTGCAACGTCCTTGAATATCAATACCCATAAACCTGGCCTCACTGGGTTCCATGGACATTGCTTGAGGTATCCAGTTCAACATGCAATTACAGTGAATATTGTTTGCGTTTAGGTTTAATTTCAGCTTCTCGTATCGAGTAGCATCTTTGTTTTTGGTCAACAGCGGCCATATTGCTTCCTGTGAAAGCGTTATCAAATTATTGTTCGACAAATCGATGTTCAACGGTTCTCTAGTACGAATGCCTTCAAAAGCATTTTTGTCAAGTGGATTTTTCGACAGCATATTCGATGAAAGATCTAGACTTCTGATCTTAGTCGTTGAATTTAGGAAGTGACCTTTAACAGACGTCAGTATATTCTTTGAAACGTCCAAGATTTCTAGTGTTTTTGGAATGAAGAACTCTAAATGTTGGATTGAGTTTCCGGAGAGGTAAAGCGATTTGAGCTTGTAGAACTTAACAAATGTGTCAGCTTCTATGACGCTGATCTGGTTATTAGACAGGTCCAGATGTTCCAATTGTGTGTAATACTGGAAATCTGTTTGTTTCAGCACTGAAATTGAGTTTTTATTGAGGTAAAGTGTTGTGACGTCATTTGGCAGATTTTTAGGTATTGTGTAGAAACCACTTTTGCTACAGACGTACGATAGACGCTCTTTTTCGCTACATGCAGACGAGCTCTCTTCAATCAGGTAGTAAAGTAAGAAAGCCAACATAGAATTCTTCAAAGACATGCTAGCTTTCGGGGTTCTTCTACAAAGTTCTAATGCGGACAGCAACTCGCCCCGGCCACATTGATAAAACGTCGCAGCACAAGCAGTTCCAATATAACTTCAGTTAACTCGCGTCGAGCTTAAGGTGTTTTAGCTAGTCGAAAATCTAAACATTCGAGATAAAAATAAGCAGTTAAGCGTAGAAGAATGCATTAAAATAACTCAACGATGAAGAATAAAAAAAGATTTTCAGTTGAATTTACTCAGTATACATATCAGATAATTTTTCAAACAACTGAATCCTCGTTCTTGATCATATTGATGATTCTTTTCTTATTTTCAAATGGTCGAATAAAACAATTACCTGCGGCTAATGTCTTATCACCACCATACCGTCGCATAAATTCACGCAGAAGGGCTGTTTGTAACAACACGTAAGATGTGGCGTATCATTGGCAATCATATCTTTTCGCTCAATTTAGCTCCGAACTACGACTGTCCGCCAAAACAGTCGATTTAAAAGAGCTTTCATTTTAATTTATCGATAGATCAAAAGGTGCTTATTCAAGCTTATTGAAGCATTTTCAACAAAAAACTCATTGGCTAGCCCAATAATAATTGCACAGCGCGTAATTTATAAAAACGTCAGTATGAAACAATGGTTCAAGAAGTCTAATTTCTTTTTGAATTGGGTCAAATTTTGATTTTCAAGTGACGCAAAATATGACCAGAAGATGGATGTAAGATTAAAAAATAATAAGTTAACACGTACTCCGAACTTTGATAAATGTTTTTGATTTAATATTTTTAGAAGTTGAAATGACTTAATTTGACAGCAGCCAATAAATCTCACACAGCGAAAAAGATTCGCTTCTTGCTGCAAAAATATCAATAAACACAAACACTTTTACAAATACAAACATTTGTAAGAGACAAAAATCTTGTACGTCTTGTTGAAAAATGATAATGGTAACATTTTAGGTAATACATGTAGGAAAAAGAGAAACCATTTTTTCATAAATTTCGGCTTTATTCAATCCTATTTGAGATCTTACGTTTGTGCTGTGTTATCAAAATAGAATATATATTGGCTTTATACGTCTTTTTGTTACAAAAAAAACTGGCTGTGATAAAGCACTGGTTTTTCAATTCTAAGCGCGAAAAGAGAAAGACGCTGCTGCGTCAATGCAGTTTTTATTAATCTGTAAATTTTTGTTCTCTGTTTGACAAGCACTGAAAACGATAAGTTATAAATGTGTATTTAATTGCAGTACTCAATTGAAAACGTTCAAGTTGTTAAACAAAACCAGGCCACACCAAAATTGGGACAAAAAAAATAATATCCAATTTTAGCGATAGATACAGTACCACTGCATTAGGACATAATTAGACGCAAAAAGACTGCTATGATAGAGCTACAGCATTTTAAGCCAACTAGATCTAGATCTATGGACTGTTTTTCATTCCTCAGTCAAACTGTTAAATCTTCAGCAAAAAACAGCCTGACCTCAAAAAATGACACTTCAATGCGTTCAGAACTACTTAATGAATGTCTTCATAATTTTTGTACAAAAAAAAAGATTTTCAATAAATAATGATGATCGCTCGCACAACAAATTTTTATCGTTTTTAAGTTTCGATAAAAATACTCTCACCTCTTTCTCCAGCTGGGCCAGTTCACTCTGCAGTAGTTCTACTCTTGATGCCATTTTAGACCAGATACAGTTTGATTGGGATAGAAATCGAAAGAACAGTCCGGATAGATGACAGATAAAGAAAGCAGACTTTTTTTTCAGATTCTTTAAGGGCGTTCGTCGACAATTTCTATCTGAAAATAGAAAATTATCCTTGAAATATTCTATTCCTAGCGATTGAATTGACTGAGTAAAATCATTAATTTTTTTCGATTTCAAAAACAACCCAAATTCAATTCTTCAATTTCAAAATATAACTAAATTTATAAATGCAAAATATACAAAAATTGCGTAATCCAATTTAAAAATCATCAGTAATCTATACAAACATAAATATGACTGTACTAATTGTATTGAATGTGAGCAGGTGATCATCAACTAACTGAGCAGAAACTAATTGAAGAAAGGTAATAAATTAGAAACGATAGATAGAATGCTTGGAAAAATCATCCTCCCCCTCCTCTCGTCGATTCTTAATTTGATCAACTCATGTGGGTTGCTTCTGAAGTGGTGCTTCCAGGAGACACCATATTTGGACTGTTTGAGTTCAGTATATTGCTGTTGCTTCCGTTTACATTGCTTTTGAACTGAGGCGGGTCAATGTATAGTGGAATTGCGTATAGTTTCGCTGGAACGGTAGGCATAGCGGAGCCTCTTTTTATCGAGAGGTATGGCTGTTGTGTATGATTACTGGCACTGTAGTTACTCGAATTTGTGCTTGAGGGTCTAGAAAGGACTCCGTCATCCAAGTCTCCATTTCCATTGTGAATCATAGGCCTAGCAACTCCTACAGAAGAGCCGTTGGAACTCTGCGTCTTGCTTGCCTTCCCCGGATTCGACTGCGAAGTTGGCAAGGTTCCGTTATCTTGCCTCGGACCTCCGACATTGAAAGTTCCCATGTGGTTTATCGTTGCCATTTTCGGCATTGTATTTGACTTTCTAGCAAACGCCAAAACTGGTGGACCTAGAGTGCCAATGTTATTTATTTGTTCGCATGAATCTGGGTCATCTCGGAAACATGGAGCGTACTGCGTGGAATGCAAATCATAGACACTGGGATGACTTTTGTTCAAATCGTCGCCCTTCGATCGGTTCGAGCTAGTTCTAGATTTCTTGTCGATTGACTGTCGCATTCCATTCACAAAAGCCTGATGTATGTTTCCAGTCATTGGTTTGCGAGACTCAATCGGGGAAGATCTTCCGCCTGTTGCGTAATCTAGGTACGTCAGAGAATCAGCTCGTATTGGATCGTGACTTCCGACTCTTAAAGTATTATGCTCACTGTTAAGCTCCAACTTATGATGATTCTGAAGTGAAAACCTCTCCGCTTCCTCGCCTATGCTACTAGAACGTCTTTTCCGATTACACTGAGCGAATTTACCTCTTTTGAAATACCAATATATGCATACTCCACAGATCACACTTATTAGCACTACGAGGACTGGAATGAGAATGCCAAATGTGATAGCTGCTTTTTGGGCGCCGGTGAGATGCGGAGCCACGTGGACATTTATGACGTGAGTGGCAGATCCGGCTACATTTTCAGCCACACAAGTGATGTTTCCTTTGTCTGACAACCGTAACTCCTTCACTACAAGGTTCCCGTTCTCAGATAAAGTATACCGTCCCTAAACGTACAAACACCTGTCAATAACTTTACATGCTTATAAAGAAAGCAAACAACTTCTAATTCATCGGACCATATGACTAAGTAAAAAAATTCTTCTCAACCAGGGGCGGATCTAGTATTTTCTTGAGGGGGGATTTCATTTTTTTTTCGAAAACTTTCGGCCTTTTTTAGGTCAACCAAATTGATTTTCCGAGCTCTCGCAAATCATAATTTGGCAAAAATTTTTGCGCTTTTCTTGAAAAACAGCAAAAAAGACGAAAGACGTTTTTAGGCGTTTCTTGGACAGTTTTGACCGAAAAATCGTGTTTTTTTTCGCGGGCGCTCCCCCTCAAAAATAGTATATATTGGTGCCAAAGGCGCCTTTAGAACAAATTTAGGGTCAGCCAGCCAAAAATTGAGGTCTTAAAATAAAACCTAAGTGCGACCCTTTAAGTAGTCAGGGGGTCGAATAACTAGCGGTCGAGCCCCCTAAATCCGCTACTGCACTCAATCATTTGGGGTATAATCACAAATTATGACTATGTTACGTACATTCAGAGGTCCGACATTGATTGCTAAGCGAGCTCTTACAAACAGAACAACTTGAGAAGTATAAGAACTCACTACACCGATAACTGTTCAATTTCTCCCGACATAAGATTTCATAAATACATCTCAAAAAATGTATACCAATCAACTTAACTTGTCTCTTACCACTGTTTTCGAGGGCAGTATAATATTTTTGTGATTGAGCACCATCGCGTATCTGGGATTGGGGTCTCCCGAGGCACTACACCTCACACTTCCGTCCTCCCCCTCCCTCCACGTCACGTCCGAGAACCCATTCTTATTCGGCAGCACAATCGTCGGTCCCACACACGAGAGTTGACTCTCCTTTAGATCATGTAAACTAACAGACTCAAGGTTGTTGGGACTATTGCAACGTCCTTGAATATCAATACCCATAAACCTGGCCTCACTGGGTTCCATGGACATTGCTTGAGGTATCCAGTTCAAAATGCAATTACAGTGAATATTGTTTGCGTTTAGGTTTAATTTCAGCTTCTCGTATCGAGTAGCATCTTTGTTTTTGGTCAACAGCGGCCATATTGCTTCCTGTGAAAGCGTTATCAAATTATTGTTGGACAAATCGATGTTTAACGGTTCTCTAGTACGAATGCCTTCAAAAGCATTTTTGTCAAGTGGATTTTTCGACAGCATATTCGATGAAAGATCTAGACTTCTGATCTTAGTCGTTGAATTTAGGAAGTGACCTTTAACAGACGTCAGTATATTCTTTGAAACGTCCAAGATTTCGAGTGTTTTTGGAATGAAGAAATCTAAATGTTGGATTGAGTTTCCGGAGAGGTAAAGCGATTTGAGCTTGTAGAACTTAACAAATGTGTCAGCTTCTATGACGCTGATCTGGTTATTAGACAGGTCCAGATGTTCCAATTGTGTGTAATACTGGAAATCTGTTTGTTTCAGCACTGAAATTGAGTTTTTATTGAGGTAAAGTGTTGTGACGTCATTTGGCAGATTTTTAGGTATTGTGTAGAAACCACTTTTGCTACAGACGTACGATAGACGCTCTTTTTCACTACAAGCAGACGAGCTCTCTTCAATCAGGTAGTAAAGTAAGAAAGCCAACATAGAATTCTTCAAAGACATGATAGCTTTCGGGGTTCTTCTACAAAGTTCTAATGCGGACAGCAACTCGCCCCGGCCACATTGATAAAACGTCGCAGCACAAGCAGTTCCAATATAACTTCAGTTAACTCGCGTCGAGCTTAAGGTGTTTTAGCTAGTCGAAAATCTAAACATTCGAGATAAAAATAAGCAGTTAAGCGTAGAAGAATGCATTAAAATAACTCAACAATGAAGAATAAAAAAAGATTTTCAGTTGAATTTACTCAGTATACATATCAGATAATTATTCAAACAACTGAATCCTCGTTCTTGATCATATTGATGATTCTTTTCTTATTTTCAAATGGTCGAATAAAACAATTACCTGCGGCTAATGTCTTATCACCATCATACCGTCGCATAAATTCACGCAGAAGGGCTGTTTGTAACAACACGTAAGATGTGGCGTATCATTGGCAATCATATCTTTTCGCTCAATTTAGCTCCGAATTACGACTGTCCGCCAAAACAGTCGATTTAAAAGAGCTTTCATTTTAATTTATCGATAGATCAAAAGGTGTTTATTCAAGCTTATTGAAGCATTTTCAACAAAAAACTCATTTGCTAGCCCAATAATAATTGCACAGCGCGTAATTTATAAAAACGTCAGTATGAAACAATGGTTCAAGAAGTCTAATTTCTTTTTGAATTGGGTCAAATTTTGATTTTCAAGTGACGCAAAATATGACCAGAAGATGGATGTAAGATTAAAAAATAAAAAGTTAACACGTACTCCGAACTTTGATAAATGTTTTTGATTTAATATTTTAGAAGTTGAAATGACTTAATTTGACAGCAGCCAATAAATCTCACACAGCGAAAAAGATTCGCTTCTTGCTGCAAAAATATCAATAAACACAAACACTTTTACAAAAACAAACATTTGTAAGAGACAAAAATCTTGTACGTCTTGCTGAAAAATGATAATGGTAACATTTTAGGTAATACATGTAGGAAAAAGAGAAACCATTTTTTCATAAATTTCGGCTTTATTCAATCCTATTTGAGATCTTACGTTTGTGCTGTGTTATCAAAATAGAATATATATTGGCTTTATACGTCTTTTTTTACAAAAAAAACTGGCTGTGATAAAGCACTGGTTTTTCAATTTTAAGCGCGAAAAGAGAAAGACGCTGCGTCAATGCAGTTTTTATTAATCTGTAAATTTTTGTTCTCTGTTTGACAAGCACTGAAAACGATAAGTTATAAATGTGTATTTAATTGCAGTACTCAATTGAAAACGTTCAAGTTGTTAAACAAAACCAGGCCACACCATACAAATCAGTGTAGATCAACGTGATTCAGCTATATACACCATCACGCGCGTTAAGTGCCTACCATGACATTCAATGCTTAAATATTACAGTATATGGGCATAAAGTAGACGACTCAAGTTACCATTAGCAAGCATGATATTCGAATAAATTCGAAGAAAATTTTAGATCAGGTATTTCAACCGACCGTCCCCATGCAATAGGATCATTTGCCCCAAATGCACAAGATTTAGGCATGGATACAACAAACACGATTCAAACGCAAACAGACGGGGTAAAAACTACATAATATTGCGGCGAAGCTAACTGAATAATAGTTTTGACGTGGATTCTATTTAGTTATTAGCATACCAGGCATTTAAAGCCAAACAAATATTGCCATTAAAACTAATTTCACTGACTACTATACACAAACGAAACCGAACGTCGCATCACGCATAACTAAAAAAAAAATCCTATAATCGTTTAAGAAATGATGAGAAAAGAAAAGTCTTCAATAAATTCGATTGAGAAAAATTGAAAACGAAACAAATGTGGAAAAATGCTGCAGATCTATTTTTTTCGAACAAGGATCATCATAGAAACAATTCCAACCCATTAACCCTCTTTGAATTCTATGAAAGCATTAAACTTAGAAAACGTGTTGCCACATAATACATGAAAATTAGGCAAAAGTATTATCAGTCGATTTTCTCAAGTTTATTTTGGTTGGGTTGGCAGTTTTTCGTATCCCCTGTCCAGTGGTTATGGCCCCCGATGGTAAAGGCACGGCATGCCATGCCACTATATCGGGCGTACTTTTACGTCGTATTTACAGGACGGGTATAAGTCCATAGACAGAGCATCTGCAGATCCGTCAGTCTGACTGAAGAGTTGAATGAATGAGTTGAAAGATGCGACCCTAGATTGCAAATAGTGCCTTCACTTGCCCTTTTTAGGTCAAATCTGTTCAGAATGGGTATAGCTACTGAGGACTGATGAATATCTAGAGCGGAGCTGTGCCAAACTTAGCTTAGCCTCACGTGAGTTTTTCTATTAATCGATGTCACTTCAAAATTGATTACTCCAACAGTTTACTGTGAGGGGTTTCAGTGTAATCTCTCAGTTTTACTATAATAATAATAGTAATAATAATAATAATAATAATAATAATAATAATAATCATAATAATAATAAAATTAATACATATTAAAAAAAAACTAATAATAATCATAATGATAAAAATCATAAAAATAAAAAATTACAATAATAATCATAATAATACTAATTTATGCATGGCAAAGGGATTTCTCCCATTTTACTAAATGTCAGTTTAAGTGAGGTAAATTTGTCTGCAGTTTTGACAAAAAGACAAGAATGTTTGTTTACACAAGATTAAGTATCGTTATTTGAATAATGTTCTACGAAAGTTTTATTCATTTCCCGGAGAATCCTTCTTTTCAATCCTTGAGGTTTGAAGAAGTTAACTGTCCCGGATATTCTCATGTAAGTTATATACCAGAACGTTGTCCTCTGTGATTCTCGAGTTATTGGTGTTCTTTGGAACTGAAATTTCCCTCTTGTATTTATGCAGATGCTGAAGTATTGTTGAACTCTACATCGTATCTGTCAGATATTATATTACACAGCATTGAAGTTCTTTGAAATATGGGATAAGAAAGATTTCTAGACTAAAAAATGTTCCTTATATTAATGTCTGATGACAACCACTTTTCAACATTCTTGTTTAAATTTTCAGGATGCCTTGTCAATTTTGGATGGTGTCAAGCATTCAGAGGCGTACAGTAATAAAGAAACTAATGCACCTTTATGAATATTTAATCTCAATTTTAGAGATATTTGTGTGGCATTCCTTTTCACCAATTAGAAAAAATTTCTCATTTTCGCTAGTTTTGTCGATAAATGTAAGATCTGCAAGCTTTCTTCAACTAAAAAACCTAGATCTTTCACCTTATTTTCTTCTTTTCCTTTAATTGCTGATATGTACGAACACTTTTTGGCATTAAAAATCAGGATTTGCGCACTCCATGCCTCGAGATTTTTTAAATCATGTTGCAAGCTCTCTATGAAGTTGTTGAATCCTGAGAAGCAAAGCATGAGCTCTTCTGCGAAGAGGAAAGCCTTCGAAAAAAGAATCTGATCCGGTAAGTCGTTAATGAAGATTAAAAATGAGAGCGGGCCAAGGACCAATCCTTGTGTCACGCCGCTGTAAACTGGCACCGAAGGAGATAAGTCACCATTAAATCTGACTGATTTCTTTCACATAAATTATCAATAATTATTTCCAAAAAAGTTTTATGCGACTTTAAGGGCATCAGTTTTTTGCCTAAAATCATCTGGGCAATAGTATCAAATACCTTTGAAAAATCGAAATAAACCAATAATGATTATAACTTAATGTATCTGCACTTCAGCAAATGTGATCTAAATAGCCATAAAACCGAATTGTAATTCAAGAGCGTTTGTTAAGGCAAAATCTCTGAATTGGTTAATGCAGTTGTTTGAGGCCAAATCTAAACGGATTCGACTTTAGAACAATCGGTTGGCTGGAGCTCGACTTCTTCTTTCTCGTGTTTTGTTCAGGGTTGCTTTCAGTAACGGACCGCTCTTCGATTCTAAAATTATGATGGTCTGGACTCTCCAGGGGTGCCTTCCGAGGTAGAACTGATTAACAAGCACGCATGAATAGATATAACTTTGGTTTCATTGTGTAAATGTTTTGTTTCTACCATTTTAGCATAGCCAGTAAAAATTCAAAAACCATGTTTTATTAGACTTGTAATTTTAACTAGTTGGTTTTGCTTAAAATTTCAAACTCAAAAAGAGTTACCCTAGAGTCGTCTTCAAAGGATATATTTGAGTGCCTGATTTTTGGCCATTCGTTTAGTTGCTTGAGCTGCGGTCTAATTGGTATCTCTAACTCAATCTGATGTGGGACAGAAGTTAAGATTTCAAAGTGTGCGCGAGAGACCACCATTTTGTGGCAACTCAACATAAGTAAAGCAACAGCCACCGTCTGAAGTTATTTGTTATGTCTGAATTAAATTTCGCACAGAAGAGCGCTGTTATTTACTGCGCCGAAGAAAGCAGTGAGGCCCAGTGCTACCAAACGGGTTCTTTGAGATGGATTTTTCTGATTCAGTTCTTCGGTTATGTGATGATTGACACAATTAAGTTCAGTTACAGCAGACGGAGCTTTCCTAAATCAATTCTGGTGTCTGCTAATTGTATGTTTAAGTGTACTTCAGGTAAAGGAATCCTTTTCACAAAATTGACAACAAAAGTGCAATGAGGCAAAAATTTTAGATAATAACCTGTTGGAGAGTGGAATCAAATAGACTGAAATAAAACTGGCACCACAGAGAGTCAACTAAACTGTCCGTGGTCGACACCATGAAACGACCATAGGAGGCAATGCCTAACGGTCATAAAAAACTTGAATCTCTTCTATTTTTGTCAGCAATTGCAGAAATTTTTGAAACTTGGTTCAGAAAGCAGCACACTCATTTTCAGTAAGTAGGATTTGAACGGGGTAATACAATTTATAAGTCAAACAAGCTCAGAGCATACACAACTTATCTAACTACACTTTTTTTGTTCAAGTGGATTTACAGATCAGCTCTACAGATTGACTGAGGCTTGATTAAGCTGAGTACTTTTATCATCATCAAAAAAATTGCAAATTGAAAGTCACAGGAGCCATTGCAAATTGAAAGTCACAGGAGCCAAGTCAAAGTCGCATCATCGAAAACCTCATGCTGTACGAAAACACTTGAAAGACTTTTTTCTATTTAAATTAGGCTATTTACGCTTTACACAAACATAGGACAAACGATCCAACAAAAGAGAGACGAATCCCGAAAACAAATTTAAAAAATGTCTAAAAATATAACTAAAACTTTTGCATGTTTATTTCAAATTGCCTGAAAAAAAATGACTTTATTTGCAAATATAAAATATTTCAAAGAGGTAAGACAATTTCACATTTACAAATTAAATCAAATTGGCAATTAGAAATCACTTTCAATAGCAAAAACAATAAGAAATTATCAGAATGAAGTCGATACAAAGTTTTAAATAAATGTTCTTAAATTGCAATAATGACAGACCAGCTTCCAGTTCCGTACTCGAACAACTCCTGACACCCATGTCAAACTGAGTGCAACTTTGAAAACTGTAAGTCTTTGAAAACTCTAAGACAATCCTTCATACCAAACCTTGAAGGAAACAGACATGTTTCTTACGAGGACCGTGGTCTCATCGTGTTGGGCCTGAGAATAGGTCTCGACGCTCAGGAAAATGTCGGCTTCAAATAAAACTACAATTTTACAACTCGAAATTAAAATGAACCTCCAGACCTCGTTTACAAGAATCGAAAATTAACAATTTGAAACCGCTAATTAATTAATCATTGGTTTGAAAACTCATTGGTTTGGGTTTTTATCCTTTTTACAGTGAATCAGAAAGTCATACAATGTCACGGTAACCGAAGAATCTACATTAATCCTTCATCAGTTGACCCAGTCAAAAAATCTTGGATTTTTATAAGGGAAGTATAACATGCAAATGGATGAAAATCACGTCAACCAGTTTGCGAAAGCTTACACCTATACAGAATAAACCCGAAATTAAAGAAAAAATTATCTAAAAAAATTTAATTTGAAAAAAAAAAACAAAAGAGTTAATAACGCAAAAAGGTTTTTCAAAAACATTTCTAACAGTAAAATCTGCATCTCAAAAGGGAGCATCAAATGGTTGAATCTGTATGTGATTAAAAGTGTGGTTGAATCGTCATCAAACGGTTGAATGGTTAACCAATTTCCCCAAAATTCAATTTCTCAGGTTTTAGGGTTGGACTGCGCTTACCCTACGGATCGGAACCAGCCAAACCTCTGCCCTTGCCGATAGAGCAATCCTTAAAAGTTTCTTTTATCGAGCCAAAGGCTGATATACCAAATTTTGACCTACCGAAAACCGGGACATTCAACAAATTTCCTCAATGAGGTCTGCTAAAATGTCGAGACATAGCCGTAACTTAAACCGTTGAATCGCGAAAGCTTAAAGAGCTGAGTGAGAATCATCAAATGAGGATGATGCCAGACATGATACAGAGGCGAAGTTGCACATCGCATACACAAGCAAAAAATATGATCGATAACGCTGAGAAAAACTGAATGCGTAAAACTTTGAGTCTACAAAATTTCTTAAGTTACGCACGCCAATTATGACGCATTCAGTACCAGTCAATTTGAAAAAAAAAATACCAACTAACGTTCCTCAATTTATAGAGCAGTCTATGGAGCAGTAATAACATGAAAAAGTTTTAAATGTAATAAAAAATAAAACGAATTTTTTTTTTCGATTTTTGTGAAAATCATCACCCCACACGCCATATTAAGTACAAAATGATAAATTTCGCTCCTAGTAATAAATCAACTATGGCAAATAAGCTTCCTTCAATCAATTTGGAACGATTTCTATGACGGATTAAATCTCCGCTTACGCGTTAATAGAGCGAAATATATCGCGCGTTAATTGTCCTAAATTGAACAAAATGGCAATTTTTAAACCCCCATAACTTTACGAAAAACGATCACTGTAACATAAATGAACTTTAACATTCAATTAGAGTTTGCAATCTCCGTTTTCAATAACATCAGGGGACGTCGGACGGACTAACAACTCGCATCCGAAAAATAAACTCAATTGTACAAGAGCTCAAATAAAGTGCGATATCATTGATATGCGATATGGTGACAGAGTGGGATAATGCGATATGGCGACGATCTCCAAACGGGGATTGCCAAATCACAAATTTTTGAAACCACTATAGTAACACGAGAAAATTCTTCAAATAACGATGTGGATTATTCTGAAGAGATGCCAGGACGAGAGGAAAACTTGCAGATTTGAGAAAAAAATCACACTGAAGACTCCGGCTGGTTTTTTACGGAACTTCGCCGTACCATCACAAGCAGATAATTCCAGAAGCCACAAAGAGTTTGAGAAGAGATGTCAAATCTATTGCGATAGCAACGTCAAAAAAACTAGTGGGAAAGAATTCAGAAGAGTGGTTATGTAACATACATGAACTTTAACATTCACCAGCTCAAAGACATTGAACTTTGATTAGTGGCGTGATGTTGATATTTATAAATAGCGTGATGTAA